AGTTGCCTTTTAAGAACTATTGAAATAAAATTTATCCTTCGTATGGGCCACCTGCCGAAGTGATAATAAAGTTTCCCAATATTTCACTATTCGAAACACTAGTGTATCAACTGAAGTCCCCTTCAAAGCCGTTTTATTGAGATGTCTAACGTCTTCAAAAACGGCTGTAAAATATATTCAACCGGGGACACTAAATCTACGAAAGTTGCAATAAAAGCATCAAAAAAGGCAAAGACGATTTGTCAAATAGAAATTTCGTTTACACAAACCAACTACCAATAATCAAGGATGATTTTCTTAAACCCCTGTACTAGCAGAAAATGAAGCAATCCGAGGTCAAGAAACATAATGAGCTGAGTGCAATTTTGCACTTAAATCTACTCTTGACGAGTGTTCTTCGGCTAGAAGAGCAAGTGAAAAGTCAGCTCTCTATGGGTGGTGCATGGGGTGGTGGCACCTCCGATCAGTGGATGAGACGATCGGAGATGACCATCGCTAACGCCATATCAAGCATCGACACAGTGGTACGCGAGCAAACCGACTTACGACAGAAGCTAGAAGATAATTCTATGAGACTTGTGTCGATGGAAAAAAGAGTTTCAACCCATAGAGACCGGTTCCCACAATCGGCAACTTTCTCTTCGTTACAACCACTCCCCATTTCGGACGAGATTTCACGACGTCTCACAAATGCCGAAAATGGCACCAATAATATCGAGTTCTTGGTAAACGAAACAAGGCGTGAGTTGAACGAAGTCAGACAAGAAGTATCGTCTGTTAAACGCCAATTGGATGGCGCGGTGGACAGTATTAGACGACTCGAACGAAGAATGGAGTCTGTAGAACATAATTTGGCGCTCAGAAATGTTGTTTTGTCTGATATCGAAGAACATGTTCAACAGCAGCAAGTTTATACATATAATGGGATCTTACTCTGGAAAATATCGGATTTTGCACGTAAGAAAAATGATGCCATAACTGGGCGAGAGGTCTCAATATATAGCCCGTGCTTTCATACCAGTCAGCATGGTTACAAAATGCGCGCGCGACTTTACTTAAACGGTGATGGAATGGGTAAAGGAACCCATCTGTCGCTGTTCTTCATTGTCATGCGTGGAGACTACGATGCATTACTCCGCTGGCCATTTAGACAGAAGGTGACCTTCATGCTGTTGGATCAAGATAACGTAGAGCACGTGGTTGATGCTTTCAG